ACACTGGGGTTACCATCCATATGAAATCCTCTGGTGGGTCAGTCCAGTGAACTTGTTACAGTGTATTCTCCTACAGCAAGCACCCATGTGTTGCACTAGGTTGTCACCAAACAACCTTGACAAGTGAGATCAGTCATTGCCTTTTGACATGGTCGTTCAACACTATGATAGCCTTACCGTATTATCTATGCCCTTACTTCAGAATAATATTGGGGCTATGGACGTTTCTAGAATGGCCACCATATGTGCTCATAGGGTTCTCACCATCAAGATTTGAAACACTTGATACCCTCGTCACGATTCTACCATTCTAAGGACATATATCAATACATATTGTAATAATAATAATTTACGCGATATAGAATAAAATGCATTTTATTGATTAATGAACATTATTACAAAGAGTCAATTCTACAATAATTGATTGGCTCTAGGGCATCTACTCTAACAGTATGCTCCTCATCAAGCGTAAACATCAAGATCTAATTATACCCCGAATAGGCATTTATAAAGCTTAATAGCTTGCGCCCAGAAGTAACATCAACGAGTGGATTAATTGTTGGTAGAGGGAAACTGTCATTTGGATAGACTTTGTTGAGATCTATGAAATCATTACAAGTTCGCCACTTACCGTTGGGCTTTTTTACCAAAATAGGATTGGTGACCCAACTAGGGTAATAAGCTTCCCGAATGAATCCTATTGAGAGGAGCTTGTCCATATCAACCTTAAGAGCCGCATAGCGCTCTGGGTCCATAGCTCTTCTCTTTTGGCGAGCTGGTCTGAATTCACTATCGATGTTAAGTGCATGACATATAAAATCCGGGCTGATCCTGATTATGTGAACATGAGTCCATGTAAAAACATCTATATTATGTCTAAGGAAGCTCATTAAATTAGTTGCGAGTTGAGGGTTGAGATTGCTTCTAATTCTCAACACTTGAGTCGGCTCATTCTGGTCGACAGAAACCTCAGATAAAGTCTCAACTAGCCCACTGTGGGAATACTTCTCCTGAACACGAGGATCAATACTGTTTTCCATTGGACCAAGCTACGGTTCGATCTTACTGATTACCATTGTCTATTCGGGAACACCCACAGACTTCCCTTTCCCTTTGCATGCCATTTGCATTGCTCTAACATAGTAGTCGCGAGATTCACACCGAGACCCCTTGACTTCCCCACATCCTGTCAGAGTGGGAAACTTCATCTTCAGATGGTAAATTGAGGTGACATCTTTAAAGTTCTGTAGTAGAGGTCATCTTAAGATGTCATTGAAAGCTGACGGACAATCCACTACAAGAAATTCTGTCGTCTTGGTCACTTCGTGGGTCTCTCACAAAGTGATCGGAAGTGCAATTGTTCCTCTGGGAATCAGATGATCCTTGGTAAAGCCATAAAGAGGAATGTAGACAGGTTTCAGTTTTTCTTCTCTAACTGTATTTCCTCGAATGCTCACTGAAATAAGATATTCACAGTGCTTCCATTATCTACCAACATTCTGTGGACTTCGCACCTTCCTATCTTAGCCGCATGATGAGTGCATCCTCATGAAGGTGATGCAACCGTACCACATCTCTCTCAGATAAGGTAATCTCCTATTCTCTACGCATCTTGCTAGGTCACGGTGCTATGCTTAGGACATTCACAGGCTCATGCTGAGCCTCTCGAGCGTACTTTTCATGAGCACTTCGAGAGTTTCCCGTGATGTGTGGTCCTCCAAAGATAGTCCTTACCACATAAAGACACTTACGACCTCGACGCTTCTTTCCATTACCCTCTTGATCATTCTCCCTAGTGGGAGTTGGACCATTAACATACTCTTGAAGTACCGCTTTTGAATGAGGTCTTCAATTGCTTGCTTAAGAGCTCGACAGTCATCAGTATGGTGCCCATTATCCCGATGATAACGGCAATATTTCTTGCCGTTTCTTTTAGAAGCAAGCTTTTTCATGAGCTCTGGCTCTTCGAGCAGATTAGCTTCTTCTGACTTGTCCAGAATAGCTGAAACCGATGCATTGAGTGGAGTAAATAGATCTCGGTCTCAATCATGATACGGAACTTGGGCATAGGATTTCTTGAGCTTAAACCGTTGTTTCTTTCCCGTTCTCTGATCGTCGTTAGCCCATTTGTGATCAGATCTTTTACTACCCTCTCCTCGGTTTTCCTCCCTTTGATTGGGAGTGCTAGTCGAAGGCCAGGGGTCGTGGTGATTTAAAGTTGCCACTGAATTCTCTACTTTTAGATATTTTTCTGTGAGGTTGTGGAAGCGAGTAGGGGAAATATCGTCTCAAATTGCAGTTTCTTCCACAGGTCGGTTTGTGGGCGAACTCCAGCAATAATTAATTAGAGTTCAAACTGAATCTTTGGGTGCATTAGCCACCTTATTCAGCTCCTTGTGAAACTTATCAATATAGGACTGGAGAGATTCATTCCTTTCCTGTCATATGTTGTTGAGGTAGCTCAACGACAATGAGAACTTTCGATTGGCCTGAAAGTGTTTCAAAAATAATGAACTCATCTGTTGCCACAAGTTGATAGACATTGGTGGAAGCGATCTGAACTGATGTTTGGCGTGAGCAATTAGAGTCACTGCTAAGCAACGATATTTTGCTGAGTTGGAAACTGGGTGAAGCTTTGTGAGATCGTTAAACTCATAAAGAAGATCCTACGGATCATAACTCCTATCAAATGCTCTCATGTCGGGCCTTCTAAATCTTGATGGGAGAGGAGCAATCAGAACTGCTGGAGAAAAGGGAGACACCTCAGTGACTTGCCCCCACTCATTTTGTTGAGCTCTAAGCTAATCCAGAACTCGCTGTAACTCCTCTATTTGAGGAAGCGAAATCCTCTAGGGATCGTTTTCCGCAATGTAGGTACGCTTCTTACGATTGTGATCAAGGAATGACCACAGGTTAGAATCTTCCTTGCCTTGACTGGAGCCTTCGACATACCTTGACACATGCTGGCTGAAGCCTTGTGAAGGTACTGAATGGCTTAGGGTGTTCTCCCTACCTCCACGGTGGTCAAAACCAACCTGCGAACCATGGGTATTTCCGTCCCGGTGATGCTCGGGACCATCATTCCGATAGTGGGAATCTCCCAACCAAGCACTATTGTGGGGGTGCCCCTGCGATGTGGTGTGAGATGGCTCAGGATGCGACATATTGCCAAGTCGTAAAGCTACAAGTATTATTCCTGTTTCACGACCAATATTCACTGTCCCTTTAGAGCCTTTTGGCCCATGCTCAGCCACCTGCTTTCTCTTATCTTTACGTGTTTTTGCTCGTTTATGCACTTTAGCATGACCTACAGGTGTTTTCGGAGGTGGCACCGCCTTATCATAATTGGGCTGCACGACCTGATCTAAACAATCTAGCCTTTGGCTCATCGTTTGGAGGGTGTTGTTAAACTTTTTCAAATAATCCAATATAGCTGGGTCTGGTTGAGAGGTCGAAGGGATGCCCACTATAGTACTTTGGGGAGGTGGAGTTACTTCGGGAGGAGTAATCTATTGAACTGAGGGGGTCTCCTCGTTGTTGGTGTTAGCACGCTCGGTTATAAGACCTCGAGCCATAAGTTTACAGGTAGAACTGAATGATCAGTTAGAAATACCAGATGAAGAGTTGATGTGAAACTCTGCCCTCCTTCTACCGCCAAACTATTGATGTTTAATTTTGACACCAACGACCTCGCACGTGCAAAGTGTTAAGCAGGTCTAAGAAATTACACGTGATATGATTTGTCAATTAGGACAAGATTATAAACATAGTTGAATGTAAAGACTTAATAATAAATAAAACGGTGAGAATTTTATAGTGGTTTGGATGCTTAAAGTGATTCCTATATCCACTATTTCTTTTATATAAATGTATTACAAGAGGTCGCGTATAGCGAACAGTGAACAGAGGTACAAGACTGTATATTCAGAGAGAATATTAAGCTACGCTCTATCTCGTAGGTTGTCTTTGCTTTTGATTGTTATGAAAATCAGAGATCGATCTCAAATTTGTGAGAGGGAACCCTCTGTTTATAGTTACTGAATTCAAGGTGATGATTACAAGTTTGCAAGTGGGTAAGTGTCGGGCAAGTCCTTCCTTGCCTCCCATTGGCTGATACCTTAGGACATATCCTCAAATTATCTAGGGCTTGGACAGGTGTGCGGTCCTCATTCACATGTAGACAAAACCTAAATCTGCTAGGTTGGTGACAGTTGTATTCCTCTGTCTTGGGGCGATATGGTAGATTCTGGATGGCGCAAAGCCTTCTTGAACTCTGATTGGTGCTTGCTGATATAAGCTCACGCCACCTCTGATTTTTTAGGCATAACAAATGTCATACACCAATTTCTCAAACATTGATGTCAGCAAGGTTTTAGTAAATAATCAACAAGGTTGTCACTTGAACGTATCTGTTTGACATCAATTTTTTAACTCTATTGAAGTTCATGTGTTTAGAAACACTTTGGTGAGATATATTTGGTTATGTCTCCCTTGTTATATCCTCCTGTCACTTGTCAATACGCACAACATTATCTTTAAATATAATGGTTGGTGATTTTATAGTGGATGATAGTTTACATGTGTTCTAGATATGGTATATGACAGAGTGAAACCATATACAATTTTTTACTGCCTTCATGGAGTGCAAGTATTATTGAGTGATTGGAAGATGTGACAACTAGAGTTTGTTTTGTGGATTGTCATGATATTGTCATATCATAGTAAGTAAAGACATATGTCATCTGCGAGCCGGCTTTATGATTATGAGGGTAAGAGAGATAATTAACATTTGCATGTCCAATTAAACCAGGATTTAGAGGGGATTCAATAGAATAGAATAATTCCAAATTTTTAGTTCCACACAAGTAACAAAATATATGCTTAATTCTATTCTAATGTTGATGAGTTGGTGCGGAGCTAATTTGCCGAGAAAGATATGCTCGGTCTAGTGCATTATGTCAAATATAATAGTGCACAACTATAATTTTAGTAATGTTATGTAATTTTAATCTTAAGTAAATTAATTATTAAACAAAGTTATAGAAGAAAAGAGAAGTATGAGAAGTACATAGAATGGTGGGATGATCCACATTTACAAGTTATAATTTGGGAGAACATTTTCACCTCATCAAAGGAACTTCAAACCTTTTTCTCTTCCTTCCATCATAACCCTCTTGAAATCCTCCAAACTTCAAACTCATCTCCAAAAAATCCACTCTCACCTCATAAACTCCCTCGTTTCCCATTTTATTTTCTTTGGAATACCTGATGAGGTATATCATGCAAGATTTCTATTGAAAAGTGGCAGATTCAATTGCACTGTGCATACACTTAAAGAACAAAATCAACAACTGTCTCATTATTTGAGATGTTTCTTGTGTGCCTTTTCCCTACGAATTTCATCAGAACAATTGAATCTATGGTTATTGATGAAGATTTCTATTGTGTTTCAACAACATTGTTGTCCAAGTAAGAGATGGCTACCGCAGCATGGAGAGCAGCTCCAATGGGAAGAACATCTTCATCAATAACCAAGTAGGGTGAATGCAATCGGTTCACCGCTTCAATCGTTTCATTCTTTGTTCCGATACTGAAAAATGCAGCTGCCATCTTCTCTGAATAGAAGCTGAAATCTTCTGCTCCCATTGCCACTGGAACTAAATGCACATTTGGTTATCCAAGCAAAGACTCCCCAACCCTCTTTACATGTTCATACAATACTTCATCATTAACAACTGCTGGATAAGGCCTCATTTTTTCCTCCATGAAATCTATTGTAGCACTACATCGATGAACTACCGCTTGAGTTTCTATGATCTGTTATTTAACCAAAAAAATATTACCATATACTCTTTCAGATATCTAATTCTACGGGCTTGATTGGTGAAGGAATTCAGCTTGGACATTATCAAGAAACTCTACAGAAAGTTTTATCACTTACCTCTTTGATTCTTTGCTGAAGGTAAATAAAACCTTCTGTAGTCATGCTCCGAAGAGTGCCTCCAAATCTCACCGTCTCTGGGATTACATTTAGTGCTTGGCCCGTCTCAATGAACCCGAGTGAGATGACCTATACAGGATTACATTAAAATGGATCCAACTTTCGAAGTCTAGATATTTAGAAAGTCTTGGAACCATCTCAAATTTTTGTAAGAAACTTGTAAAAGTTTTACCCTGGCAACAAGAGGATCTGTCTCTCGAGAAATTATCTGTTGAAGAGCAAGGATGGCAGAAGATGCAGCAACAACTGGATCTCTAGTATGTTGAGGCAATGCAGCATATCCACATTTTCCTTTAATAATGGCTATAAACCTCCCAGCAGCAGCTAGAATAGGACCTGGTCTTGAACCAATTTCACCGGTGGGCATTGCTGGTGAAATATGTAACCCAAAAATGCCCTGAAACTTGTGAAAACCGCCCTCTTTTAACATATGGTATGCGCCACCATAACCCTCTTCTGCAGGTTGGAAGACAAGCTTAACTGTGCCCTTTGAAATGAAAATCCATAGAACAAATAAATAGAAAGAGATTAGATTTATATAATTTCTCATTATGAATTTAATTATTAATTACCTTTAATTTATGTCTTCTGTACTGAAGTAATTTAGCTGCTCCAAGTAGCATTGTGGTATGAACATCGTGGCCACAAGCATGCATCTTTCCCTTGTGCTTGCTCTTATGCTCCCACTCCACCAATTCCTTCAAATACCAAGGTTGAATTTCATTAAATGTACAGTTTAATCAAATAAATTTACAAGATAAATAAAAAGACCTATTTTCTTATAGAAACATGCCATATACAATTTATTTTTAGAAATCAAAACTACATTAAAAAGTTGTATAAGGAACATATTCTTCAATTTCATTTTATAAAACAATAAACTATTATACATATTTTATATAATCTCTTTTTTCTGCAATCCCAAATTCAATAAAATGATCCAGTTACAATCGAACTTCATGGAGCTGACATGGATAGCTCAAAAAACGACAAATAAAGTTGACCACGAAAGCAACAAGAAAGAAAGTTGCAGTTTCAAACCTGAATGGGAAGAGCATCCATGTCAGCCCTTAGACCGAACCACGGCTCCACCCCTGACCCAACCGACGCCACGATGCCAGTCTTGGCCACCGGCCACCTGTACTCAATTCCAAGTGAGTCAAGCTCCGATCTTATCAGTTCACTCGTGTTGAACTCTTCAAAAGCTAGCTCTGGGTACTCGTGTACTCTCCTCCTGACCCTCTTCAACCACTCGAAGAACTGTGGCTCCCTAGCTGAGTTTAGCAGCTCCCGAGTCAGCGAACTCAGCTGCTCCGATTCCGTCCGGGTTGGAGTCGCCATAGCTGCCCATAAGATGACCACAAGATAGAGATAAGACATGACCAATTGGCACAACAAAACGAGAAGGAGATGTTTGCCTGGGTTTTAATTCATGTGAAATTTTGGTGCTTAAAGGTGAAAGTGTGAGGATTGCGATTTGGCCGTATTATGAAAAGAACAAATGCGTAACTGGTTCGGTTCTGTTCATAGAAATTGGTAAATCACATTTTCCATTCAGTTACCAGTTTGGAAGGAAATGCAAACGGGTTAAGCGAAATCGATTTTAGTAATCGGTTTATAATATATAAAATTAAAATATAAAAAAAACCTGAAACTTAAATTCCCTTTATATATGCATGAACATTTAGGCTTTTTTGAAAAAAATTAAGAAAAAATTGAATAGGGCAGATATTATGATGTAGGATTTATAAATTAATAAAATACCTCATACATTTGTTTTTATACAAAAAACCCCTTATAATAAAACATTAAAAGTTAACAAAAATACCTCCAACCCACCCTCAAATACGGACAGCTGGCCACCACCGTCGGAGGATGGTCGGAGTCGCCACATCGACGCATGACCGGCTAGATTTTGCCTGTCGTGCGCCGATATGGCATTTTCCGACCAGATCTACGACTAGATCTGGCCGTATTTGCTCGTCAACGACGACCAACAAACGATCGTCGTTGATGGTCAACGACGACCGTTTGTTGGCCGTCGTTACCGACCAGTTACGGCCTTAGATCTGGTCGTCAACGGCCAGATCTTTGGCCTTAGATCTGGCATTTTTTGGCTAGATCCATCGTGGATTTGGCCAAAAAAGGCTAGATCGGCGCACTACCAGCCAGATTCAACCGGTAGTGCGCCATCCTACCAGATTTCAGCCATTTTCCGACAGTGGTGGCCGGAATCTGGTAAATGTGGATTGTTGGGGTGTTTTTACAATTTTTAAAAAAATATTTAGGGGTATTTAATTAAATTAACAAATTTAAGGGATTTAAAAAAAGTTGAATAATATTGTGAGTTTTTGGGTATTTTACTGTTTAACTATTTTGGGAATACTAAAAGTAGTATTCCCAAAAACCAACCAAACGAAGCCTTAATTTTTGTTTGGATTTGCATTGATGATGTTTACAATTTAAATCAGGAAATTTAAAAAAAAAAAATTAGTTTAAGCCTTAAGGGGCCGGTTTTCTTCTGAACTGGTTCGGTTTTGGTTCAGAAAAATTCCTGAACCGAAAAACCAGTTTCAGTTCAAAAAACGGTTAACTAGTTCTAAACACCCCTACAAATGCGTCTAAAGATGAGTAAACAACTTTTTCCCACCCAAGTTTGCTTTAATGACACTTTTCCACTCAAAAAGTTTTAAAATACCACTTTCCCGCTCAAAGTTAATATTCTGTTACTTCCTAAAGCCGATCTTGGCAGCAAGAGTTATATCCATCACTACCATTTGAACCTTCGGTCTCCTCTCTACAAAACCGCACCTGATTTCTCACTAATTGTCGGCCACTGCAAAGCTAAAGTTTCCTGTTCTTAGTTGATTTTCGGTTAATTCTGGCGACAAATATTCAATCGGTTACCACCATTCGATCCACCAATCTCCACTCTATAAAAACTCTCTCAACCTGACTCTTAGTAACTTGCTGAAGGCTGGCTGAGAAAGTGAAGTGAATTTTGGGTATTAATGAAATATAAATGTTGGGTGGGAAAGTGATATTTTGAAATTTTTTGAGTGGAAAATGGTCATTAAAGCAAACCTTGGGTGGGAAAAGGTCGTTTACTAGTCCAAAGATTTAAGAAGGTGACATTTGACAGGTATAATAAGAACTTGATTGATAATTTGGTCTGTTTGATAGATTATTTGAAATATGATATTTTGAAAAACTATTTTAAGTTGAGTGAAGATAGATTAAATAGAATATGATATGACTCTGACAATGTATTTAGTATAATATTTAAAAATTATATCAGAGTTGGATAAAATGTTGAATAGTTGTTTGGTACATTTTTCGTAAACATTTTCTAAAAATATTTAGACTTTTTTTAACCCTCTACATTTTACACACCAAAATAAATAAATAAAATCTTTAAAAATTAACAAAAACACTCCCACAATAAAACTTTAAAAATTAACAAAAAAGTCGTCAATGGGAATTTGGCCGTCAACGGTCTAATATTTGGCCGTAGATTTGACAGTTTTCGGCTGGCTAGATCTATGATGGATTTGGTAGGAAATGGCAAGATCGGTGTCGGCCACCGTCGGTAGCAACCGATGACTGATAGTGGTTGCTGGCTGGGGTGCTTTAGTTAAATTTTAAACTTTTATTGTGGGGGGTATTTAGCTAAATTAATAAATATAGAGGGTTAAAATAATCTAAATATTTTACGTTGAATAGAATATGATAATAGAAACAAGTCTTCCTCTTTTCATTTTCAATAGAAAAAATGTTATTTCATTCGGATTATTTTTCATAATAATGATTTCAATAAGTAAACAAATACATATTTTGTTTTTTAATTTAAATAGGATAACATAAAAATGATTAAGAAGAGTGAAACAAACAGGGGCAAAAATATTTAATAAATAACTAAAAACATTTTTTTTAATAATCAATTTTTATTTATTAATTTGTTGTTCTTTTGTAATTTATTCTAATAGATGTTTAAATATGATGAGTTAATTTCAATGTGTTCGATAGTTCTAAATTCTAATTAACAGAAGAATGCCAAAAGAAAGCTCTGTTTTAAAACTCAGATCGGATCAGTCGGTTTGACTGGGAGCCGACATTTACTCTAGTCTGGGTTAACATAAAAACCGAAAAATGTCATTAAACCTGCTTTGGACCGGCAATGGACTGGTGGAATAGTACAAAACTGTCGGTTCGACCGGCCCGGGGCTTAAAACAGTTCGCTATTTTTTGGTATCTAATCCTAAAAAATTCATATTCCTAAACCAATTTGCAGTATCGTTTCATTCTCCAGTTCATTTGAATAAAAAAACCAAATTGCATCTTCCATTTTCATCTTCTATTCTTCTTCATTTACTCTAAAATCTATAGTGTAAAGAAGAAGAAGTAAGGGGAGGGGAAAGAAGAAGAAAGAGAAGAGGAGGCAAGAAAGAGTAAAGAAGAAGATTATAAGAAAGAAAAGAAGAGATGAAGAGAAAGAGAAGAGGAGAGAAAAAGAATGTGTTGGAAGAAAGAAGAAAGTGACAGGGAGAGATGGGGAGAGAGAGAGAAAAAAAAGGAGAAAGAAGAAAGTGATGGGGAGGGAGAAAAAAAAGGAGAAAGATGGAAGTGATGGGAAGAGAAAAAATAATAATTAATAATAAAATCTACAGGATGCATTTGTTTTATTTTAAACTTATAAGACTTATAGGTAAGTTTTAGGGATGTATTTGCTGATTTTCAAACTTATAATAATTAATGGAATTATTTAAAAATGTGTCTACTGTATACTGGTTAGACCGACCAGTCCAATCAGTTGGATCGGTCAAACCATGAACTGGCCCCTTGACCGGGTCAACGAGCAGTCCAGTTTTCAAAACAATGGAAGAAATTAAAAAACAGTAAAATGTAAAAGGATTATATGGAAAATTGGAATTAAGGCTTATTTGAATTAATTATATGTCAGGATCTCAATAGGATGCTCAATTTCCTTCTCTCATTAGCACTTGATAAGATAGGAAGCCGGTAGGATACTTAGGAAAGTTGGAGATATCTTCCCTAACCGGATTATCATTTAAAATCTCAGTTATACCCTACAATATTCCTCTTATGTAGGATGCCAAATCGAATACTATAATGCATCTTGTGTGCCTTTTCTATAAAATTTTCATAAGCACAATTGAATCTACCATGTTCCTACTGAGTTTCAACAACATTGTTATCCAAGTAAGAGATGGCTACCGCAGCATGGAGAGCTGCTCCAATGGGAAGAACATCTTCATTAATAACCAAATAGGGTGAGTGCAATCGGTGAACCTCTTCAATAGTTTCATTCTTTGTTCCGATATAGAAAAATGCAGCTGCCATCTTCTCTGAATAGAAGCTGAAATCTTCTGCTAACATCGCCATTGGAACAAGATGCACATTTGGTTCTCCAAGCAAAGACTCTCCAACCATCTTTCCATGTTCATACATTTCTTCATCATTAACAAGTGCTGGATAGGGCCTCATTTTTCCCTCCATAAAATCCACTGTAGCACTACACTTATGAACTGCTGCTTGAGTTTCTATGATCTGTTATTTAACCAAAAAAATATTACCATTTACTCTTCAGATACGTGAGGGTCCGTTTTGTATGACTTATTTGAATAGAGTTCATCGAAAAAGAGTTTATGAAAATATAGCTTTTATAAAAAAAATTTAGTTGTTCGGTTAGGAAAATGTAAAAGAAATTTCTAGTGCTTATTTACCAAAAGCAGTTTTAATATACAAAAATAAATCAAATCAAATATATAAAATAGGACATTTTTAAAATTCTAACACTTTATATAAGCTCAAAAAGAGCTTATAGAAATAAGTTGTAAAATAACTTATTTTAAATCCTATAATCGCTTTTGAAATGCAATCAAACAGCCTGAAAAACTTTTAAAAGTAATTATGGCTTCAAATAAGCTCTTTTGACCAGTTAATAAATCCAACCAGACAAGCTCTAATTGTAAATTCCTGATTTCATGAATATCTAGACTTCAAAAATTTCTTGATTTTGTTACCTCTTTGATTCTTTGTTGAAGGAAATAAAAACCTTCTTTAGTTGTGCTGCGAAGAGAGCCTCCAAATCTCACAGTCTCAGGAATTACATTTAGTGATTTTCCTGCCTCAGTGAACCCAATTGAGATTACCTGTATAATATTATGTTAACATATATCTTACAATTAATGTTAAAAGACAAAATTTTAACTTCTAAATAGATATTTGTATATATATTTAAAATTGGGTTTGATGCTTTTTGAGACTCTTTTAACTCTCTAAAACACACAATAAGAGGACACAAAACAATTATTCTTTGAACTTTTTGTACGAGAATTTAGTTGAAGTATTACTCTAGCCACGAGAGGATTTGTCTCTCGAGAAATTATTTGTTGGAGTGCAAGGATGGCAAAAGATGCAGCAAGAACTGGATCTCTAGAATCTTGAGGCCATGCAGCATGTCCACCTTTTCCTTTAATTATGGCCACAAATCTCCCAGAAGCAGCAAAAATAGTACCTGGTCTCGAACCAATTTGTCCAGTGGACATTTCTGGTGAAATATGTAACCCAAAAATGCCCTGAAACTTATCAAGAGCACCCTCTTTTAACATATGGTATGCGCCACTATAACCCTCTTCTGCAGGTTGGAAGACAAGCTTAACTGTGCCCTTTGAAATTAAATTTCATTGAACAAACAAATAGAAAAAGATTAGATCGATTTATATAATTTCTGAATTTTTTAAAGATGAATTTGGTTATTGATTACCTTTAATTTATGTCTCCTATATTGAAGTAATTTAGCAGCTCCAAGTAGCATTGTGACATGAGCATCGTGGCCACAAGCATGCATCTTTCCCTTGTTCTTGCTCTTATGCTCCCATTCTACCAATTCCTTCAAAATAACAAGGTTGAATTTGAATAAATTTACACTTTTAATCAGTTAAGATACTTGTCCCAAGCTAAGAAATTCCTATTACCGTGTGGGCAAGGGAAAGAATAAAAGGATTAACAACCATTGGGTGACCCAGTAATCAACTAGGACTCTTGGGTATATTACTCAAAAGCTTTTGAATTAGATGTACCTGGATTGTTAATAGGGGTAATCACTGAGGGGATTTACTCGGTTGTTAATTTTAAGACCTCGGGGGATTAATTAAGGTACGTGCAAATTAGTCTGAATACTCCGATAAAAAAAAAAAAAAAAGGAATAAAAGGGTTTAAACATGGTTTACTTCATATACCATTATTATTAATTTATCAACACTACATTTAAAAATAAAATAATTTCACATTTATATATATAAAGCAACATATTCCTATTTTTTTCATTAAAAATATAATTCAGCCAACTTCTTAACTACAACTTATAAAAAAACCAATAAACTATTTTACCTATTTTATACCATTTCTTTTATAGAAGGTGTTTTCTGCGATTCCAAAATCAATAAAATGAACCAGTTATTAAAAGAAAAAAGGAAAAAAAAAAAAAAACTACTTTTCAAAATCTAACTGGCAGATTCCCGATAAAATAAAAAATAAAATTGGGATTTTAGGTTTGACCATGTAAACCACGACCACGAGAAAGAAAGAAAGTTGAACTTTCGAACCTGAATGGGAAGAGCATCCATGTCAGCCCTTAGACCGAACCACGGCTCCACCCCTGACCCAACCGACGCCACGACGCCAGTCTTGGCCACCGGCCACCTGTATTTAATCCCAAGTGAGTCAAGCTCCGATCGTATCAGTTCACTCGTCTTGAACTCTTCAAAAGCCAGCTCTGGGTACTCGTGTATTCTCCTCCTTATCCCCTTCAACCACTCGAAGAACTGCGGCTCCCTCGCTAAGTTTAACAGCTCCCGAGTCAGTGAAGTTAGCTGCTCCGATCCCGTCCGAGTTGGAGCCGCCATAGCTGCCCATATGATGATCAAAAGATAGAGATAAGAAGACATGATGGATTGGCACTACACAATGAGAAGGAGATGTTTGCTTAATTAATTTTAATTAATGTGAAATTGGTGTTTTAATTCATGACAGATGTAATGTCAGTGAAAGTTTTAAATGGAAGGGAAAATTCATCGAATGACGAGCGATAAAAAAAAAAAAAATTCAACGCTCACTTTCATAAACGATTTTCAAAATTTTGGGTGTCCTTGTGGCTTTTTGAAACAAGGGGAAAAAAAAACTTATCCCAGCAAACAAAAGAGGATAGATGCATTGTGGGAGTTGTGTTGTTTATTGTATTAGGGAATTCACAACAGAGTTGATTTGGGTTGGATATTGCTGTGCGTGATTCTCTGGACCGTCAGATTTGTGTCACCAATCGTTTAACCAAGTCATAGTAAGTGACTTAACTAATAAGCTCATCAGATTGAGGTATAATTGTTATGGCTTAATAATTATTCTGGCTTAAGTATGGATAAAAGGTTAACTCATATCAAGATTGGGAGGGACCCTCCATTATCACCAGCTCCCAGCCAGACGAGAGTAGATGTGGGAAGCCACTTCCATTTAAAAAAGAATGAGAATAGCAGGAGTCACCTCGCTGTGCACCCACTTTGCAAGTTAAGTACTGCTCTCGAGTTAAAGACTTTATTAATATCATTAATTAGAGTATTACTATACTACGGTGGAGTTTTTATTTAGAAGCTAAATAGAACTAAAATTGAATATTTCTGTCTCATAGCATGCTGAAGATTTAACTTGTATCATGTAGATCAATCTGCAGTGATCATTCTAATGTCGTATTGCAGAACTCAGTATTGGAGGTCAGCTATTGCTGTTGATGGAGGGTTTGACAACAATGTTGACAGTATATATATTTTTTAAATTTCCCTTTACATAAAATTATTAATTTAGTTTAATACATTATTTATTTATTAAAGTGCAATTTAATATTTATAATGATTAGATAAATTAGATTTTTTTTTTTTTTGTCATTATACATGCAACAATATAAAAATCTAATTAACCAAACAAACGATATCTGAAATTAAAATTCAACAATAATTTTAAATATAATATTTTACCAAACACATTTTAACTTATTTCTATTAACTTCATTTTCAAAGTTAGCTCTGCAAAACTTTCTGGCTTGGAAGAATCAAACTGCTACATAATCACAATGTTACGCCATAGTTTTCGCGAACTGTCTTATCATAAATACCATTTATGATGCATCTTGTGTGCCTTTTCTCGATGATTTCCATCACCACAATCGATTCTACTATGTTCCTATTGTGTTTCAACATCGTTGTTAACTTGTTATCCAAGTAAGAGATGGCTACCGCAGCATGGAGAGCTGCTCCAATGGGAAGAACATCTTCATTAACAAACAAGTAGGGTAAGTGCAATTGGTTATCCACTTCAATTGTTTCATTCTTTGATCCGATTATGAAAAATGCAGCTGCCATCTTCTCTGCATAGAAGCTGAAATCTTCTGCTCCCATTACCATTGGGATTACATTCACATTTGGTTCTCCAACAAAGACTCCCCAACCCTCTTTGCATGTTCATACATTTCTTCATCGTTAACAAAGGCCGGATAAGGCCTCATTTTCTCCTCCATGAAATCTACTGTAGCACTACACCGATGAACTGCTGCTTGAGTTTCTATGATCTGTTATTTAACCAAAAATAAAATTACCATATAGAACATCGGGACATAGTGTGAAGATTAAAAGAAGAAGGCCGAGCGACTTCCAAGTACCCAAGGTTTTCTGCAACGACAGATGGGTACCCAAAAGGTTTGGAATCGACAAATAAGTACTTTCCGTTCTATACTGTTAGTGATTTCCGTTTCATAAAGGGTAATACAGTAATTTTGTACAATCACCAAATTTTTAACTTTCAAAATATCTCTTCGAAATCTGGAGCGAAGCTTCCTTTAGAAGCTTCACTTTAAAGATTAAAAAAAATAATAATAAAATAAACGAAAGTTGGCTTGCCTCTTCGTTTTCTTCTCATTTCTCTGTAACTCTCTCTCATTTCTCAACTCTCTGAAGGAAGGTTGTGAAAGAAGCTGCACCATTGTTTGGGGACCATCATCGACGACGACGACGACTGAACAACGAAAACTAAACAGAGGCCGACAACGACAACAACAAAAACAAAAACTGAACAGAGGCCGACGATGACAACAATAAAAACGAAAACTGAACAACGACGAAGCTGCGCCATTGTTTGGAGACCATCATCGACAACGATGACTGAATAACGAAAACTGAACTGAGGCCGACGACGACGACAACGAAAACGAAAACTGAACAACGACAACAACGAAGACTGAACAACGAAAACTGAACAAGAGAATCGTGGGGTAACGACGACAGTGGAGGACGACTGAACTAAGGCCGGCGTTATTAACAGTATAAATCATCGACGACGACAGAACAACGAAAACTGAAGGGTAAAGTTTCTTCTTGGTTTTCTTGTTTGTTCTTCGGTTTTTTGTTATTTTAGTGCAGTTCTAAGTTTTTGGTTTTTTTGACTTGCATGTTTGGTTGTTTTTAAAGTTTTTTGTGAGATTGTTTGGTTTAGGGTCGTGGGGTAACGACAACGATAAAGGATGATTGAACTAAAGTTTTTTGTTGTTTGTTTGGTTTTTGGTTATAATGAATGTTTTTGGTTTTGCATGTTTGGTTGTTTTTAAGGTTTTTTGTTTGTTTGTTTGGTTTAGGGTTTGTTCTTAAAAGAGTTGATTATATGCTAGATTGTGTAATGAATAAAATCCAACCAAACGGTGGTGCTGGTTTGCTTGAATTGATTATTAGGAGTGTGAATAGCTTGTCTTATATATTTTTGGGTCGCAGGATGAACTTACAAAAAGATTTTTGGTGTTGTTAAAGCTGGTTATGTTTGGTGTTGTAATTTTGCAATGTGTATAAAAATCTGTTATATGCGTTAATCTTGTAAGCATAAAAACAAGTGATGAATGCTTAAATTTGCTGCAATTGGAATAAAGCTTTTCTCAAATATTTTGCATCTAACTTAGTATGAATCAACGTTGGTTCTTAATTAGCCTTAGGCTGAAGGATGAAAATGGAATAGATTTAGCCTTGAGGGAAGATTTATGTTGTTCATGTGGAGCATGTCCAGCAAAAATATAAGGGAATAATATCTTATTTGAATGCCTTTTGTTCCAGGTTGCAGTGTCATAACATTGGATAATAATAGTATTAACATCTCATTAATAAATTTAGTTGAATGGCAGTGTTCTGCTGTTGGTGGCTTTTTTTGAGCCATAGAATGAGCTTCCATCATTTGTGTATGTTCAATATAGAACTGAATACAGCCTTTTTAATAACAATGGATATAAAAAAATTTGATGAAAATGTGTTTAGATGAATGGGATGATTTGAAATGTTCTCAAAAAGAATTTCTATTGCAATCTCAACTTCTAGGTAAGATCAAAGAATTTGAAGCAAAAACCTTTGTCATCATTACTGTTTTACTCAACAAGAAGAAAACTTTGTGTACGTAAAACCTTATTTTGCATTTAACATAAAAGAAACAAAATGACAAAAACCAAATTTGGTTAAAACTAATTAAATAAAGGACTGATGACAATCCCAAATTTTCTTGGCACTTGATCTGAAATTGTCCTATTTAAATGCTTAGTGTTACTTGATCTGAGTGCAAATGGCTATAATATGAAATTTTAATGCATTAGAATACCTTTGAAACATTTGTTTCCGTAATCAAACACATAGGATACTGTACTTGCTTACTAAAGTTGCTGGTGGTGTGTTCAATCATTCACTTTGCATTGAATTATTCTGCTATTCTGCAAGCTTTTCATTTTATTCTGTGTAGTTTTTAAGAATGGTTAAGTTTGAACTCTAGTTGTTATTGCATGTAGATGTATAGGTGCATCTGTGCCTAAATGAAATCTAATTTGGTTTATAATCAAACTTAACATTTAGGAGATGTTAGAAGGAAGAGCCTGGGGTAGATTGCTCCAGAGAAAGCTAAGAAGAATGTTTGGAACTTGCCTTTATGGGCACTCATGAAAAAGGAGAAGTGATTCTCATTGGTTTCTTATTTCAAAGTTGATTCTTTCCTTTATTAATCCTCATTTTAATGTCAATCCTGTACCATTAGACCAAGCCCCCAATTTTAGAATTGAAAGCTTACTGAATATAATAGAAGAGGTTTCCCTTCTATTACTTTTCTGCTAATATCAAGATTTGCAGAAAGACCAGAAACAAAGTTTTAGTGAAATGGAAAGTGACATCTATAACTTTATTGCCAAACTGCCAAGTGAACACCAGTGAAGGTCTACACTGATTATGCGACATTAATTTATAATAATTGAAAAGGCAAGAATAGCAGCTAATAAAACAGGTTGATTAATTCACTGGTGAAATCCTAAAGTATGTTATTTCTGAAGTTTTATCAACATTTGAGATCATATGAGTCAAACTTATGCTTTCCTTGGCTGATTGCTCTGGTTTATTGGTTGTTGATTGCTATTATTGTATAGGTTCTTGTCTAAAAGGGTTACTACAATTTTATTGTTTGGGGTTGAGTATTAGAAGGGTATCACATATGAATTTTTTTTTTTAGTTTCTGTTTCTTTCAAGAAACATAAATTGTTGGAAATTGTTTGGGTTCTTGGCTGATTGCTCTGCTCTTTCTGTTTATTTAAACGGAAGAGAATTAAGGCAAAGAATGAGAGCTAAATTAACAAGATTGAATTGTGGAATTATATATATATATATATATATATAAATGGTTTGATTGCATGATGCATTCCCATTATTGTGGATTTGCAATGATGATGTTTGTACTAGACAAGAGTATGTATCTACAGTTTATTACATTGCAATTGTGCCTGTTTTTGCAGCTTATGGGTGTGCATTTGTGGATTTGCAGGATGGAGAAGAGGACAATTTTGTGCCTATTTTTGCAGCTATGGTGTGCATCTGGAAACTGCTCAGTTTTTCAAACCTGATTTGAAGTTTGAAGTTTCAGTTGTATATCACATTTTCATGTACTGAATTCATTGTTTCTGTTTAAACCATGAAGACTTAATTGATACTGAATATCA